TTGGCCATTTGCATTGACATAGCAACCTTGTGAGCTTAGCCAAAGCCCTTCCACTCATTTCCATCATTGATTCATTATCTTTGTGAGATTGGGAGAGAATCCAAGTGCGATGCTTGAGTGTTTGTATCTAGAGGCACTTGGTGTTCGTGTTTCGCTGCGGGATTCACTTGTTACTCTTGATGGTTGCTGCCACCTAGACGGCTTGGAGCAGCGAGGATCATCGAGCGGAGGGTGATGATTGTCTCCGGCTCCGATCATGGTGATTGTGAGGGGTTCTTGACCTTTCCCCCTGGCGGAGCGCCAAAAGGTACTCTAGTGGATTGCTCATGGCTTGTGTGATCCTCATCTTGTGTTGGTTGTGCGGCACCCTATTGAGGGTTTGGTGTGTGAAGCCAATTAGCGCGTGAACCTCCAAGTGAGTGAATCGCCACAACGAGGACTAGCTTGCCGGCAAGCAAGTGAACCTCGGTAAAAAATTATTGTGTTCATCATTGATTCCGAAGTGATTGGTCTTCATTGTTATTCATCCTTGTGATTGATTGGTTCCTTCATCTACACGGCGGTATAACCTTCTTGATCACTCTCTTTACATTATCGCAAACTAGTTGTCAAGCTCTTTAGTGGAGTTAGGTGTGAGAGCTTGCTTGCTTGCTTGCAGTGGCGGAGCCAAGATTCCAAACTTGGGTATTCCTACTTCCACGTCAATAAAAAAATCAGTTGTTTTTAACTGCAATGAGTGAAAATACTACAAAATATGAGCCAATTTGAGAGGCTGTTTTTTTACTGTTTTGGGCTTCAATGAGTGAAAATACTACAAAATATGGCATTATACATATACATATACAAGTATATACACATATATACATAGAAGTGTGCTAAAATAGTTGGGTATTCCTGGGAATATGGGGAATACCCTCTGTATCCGCCCATGCTTGGTTGGTGTGGCTCTTTAGTTAGCTTTTGAGAGCACACTAACATAGGGTAGTGTTATAGCTATTGTGTGAATAGATACTATCTAAACTAGAATTGTGATAGGTGGCTTGCATTTTGAGTAGGCTAGCGCAACATTTGCTTCGCCTCTTAATTGTCTAGCCATGTTGTTAAGTGTTGTTGTAGAATTTTTATTAGGCTATTCACCCCCCTCTAGCCATTAGGACCTTTCACTAGTGCACACCTCGTGGGGTGAACACTAGTAAAAGGACCGGCAATAACCTTAGGGGCTTGCCTCAACGGGGATTAAGTCGTTGGCAAGTCACTAAACCTTAGGATAAAAATCATCATGTCATCTATTTATATCCTGGTCGGTTTGCATCTCCTACACTAGCTTATTTTACTTGTTCACACTTGTGCTAGTGTAATTGCTCTTGTACTAGTTAGCTTGTGTAGTGTAACTAGTTGAGTAGTGCTAGTGTAGTACTAGTGTAGATTGTGTGTGCTTATTTGACTAGTTGCATAGGTTTGTGTGACCTTACAAGCTAAAATTGTTTAGGCGAGCTCTCGCTAGCTTGACATCTTAGAATTACATTGTAGGATCTTTTTGTAGGGTGTTAGTGTTAATAGATAAAGAGTGAAGTAAGGGCTAGACGATGAGTTCAATTCTAGTGTGTTTGATCGGCTAGCCATAGTGATTAGATGTAGAAACAACTATTCATCTCCCTCTAGTCGGCCATCTCGACCTAACAATGAAGAGCGACTCTAGTGGAATCGGGGTGTTGAGAGCACCTTGTCTTCGTGCCGGCTTGAGATCAAGCGCTCACGTTGAAAACAGGCTTGTGGCTTGGAAGCTTGATAGAGGACCAGGTGAACCTTGGTCTCCCCAAACCAAATGCAACCATGTTCTTAAAATTTCGATGCTTACATGGTCTTATAAGTAAAAAAATTTGAGTGCTTTTGTGAACAATTTTTTATGGGGCTACTTAGGTTGTGTTCAGTTAAACTTGTAAAAAGTGTTTCTGCTACTTAAAAAGCAGAAAACCCACCAAATGGGTGCAACTTGAAGTTGTTTTTTTCCCAGAAGTAGCTGATTTCATATAGCACAATTTTCGTAGAATCTTAGACCATGTTTCTCTTTCAGCTTTTTCCAAACGAATGAAAATAGAGAAATGTTTTATAGCAATTTCAAGGTAGATAAAGAGAGGGAATATGTTTCATATTTGTTTCAACTTACAATTTTTTAATAGCACATAGCTCAAGCTTTTTCATTGGCCACAGCTAAACCAAATAACTCACAATTAAAATTTGAAGACTTCCACGAACTATTGTTTGCTTCATCAGTTCTGAGGCCTCCTTTGGATTGTAGAAAAAATATAGGATTGACATTCCTATGGATTTAGTCACTGTAGCATTCTTTGGTTCATAGAAATTGCCTGCACAAAAACGTAGGAAATTTTCCTTTGTATTTGATTTCGTAGGCAAAATAAGAAGGGGCTTAAGCATTTCTACCTCTGTTTTGAAGCCAAATTATGATTTTACCGTCGTTTTTTTAACTTTGTGATTTTACCCTTGCTTTTTCAAAACAAAGAAAGACTTTACCCTTGGTATGTTAAGCCCCTCTAACGGTGTTAACTTTTGGACAAAATGACAACTTTATCCATATGTTTTTACCCCTGTTTTATTATGATATTTATGTTTTTACCCCTGTTTTAGATCAGCAAGTTGACATTTTGTATACATAATTTTTAGAAAATTTCGACAACATTTCAACTAACAATCCATATAAACAGAATTTAATATCATACAACAAATTAATTTCACACATATTGCATTAACAACAACATACCAGATCCATATAACATGTCATCATAGTACCACATTAGATGCCAACATAGAGGTCCAAATAACATGCATGTCAAACACCAACATATAGGTCTAAATGACATGTCAAACAAAAGTAGGAACTAGTAGTGAGTTTTCTAGGCAACTAATAGTGAGCTACATATCGAGCATTGAAATCCAACAAAGTAGCAAGCCTTCAGAAGTTGCTCATATTCCCCTCCTTTCTATTCTCCTTCTTGAAGCACTCGTACTTTATATGAAGAAAGAGCATAACTATGTTAGTAAAGTTAGTACAATATGTAGTAAAGAGAAGCAATGGTGGCTTGTCTTACTTTGTCTCATTGTTGGCCTCTCCTGACCCTCTTCCCCTTCTCCTTCCTGTACCACTTGCACTTCACAAGAACAAAGTAAAAGCAAGTTAATATAGGTGGCAACGCTGAAATTTGCTAGAAAAATAGTAACAAACAGCAGCCATGAATCACATACATTGTCTCATTGTTGTCCTCTACTGAACTCCTTCCTCTTCCTCTTCCTCTTTCCTCTTCCCTCTTCCAGTTGTACTAGCACTTGCACTTGCCATCCTCAATTAGGTGCACACCGGCCCTCCCAGTAGGGTAAAACCTTCTTTTTGTTGTAGAAAATTGCAGGGGGACCTCAAAATCGTTTATCGCATTGATGCATGCTAATCCCTTCCCTACATTGATTAGAAACCAGTCTAACAAATTTTCATCAGATTTTATCTCCACCGAGTCATTCTCCAAATCACGCCATAAAGTTATGTATTGCTTAGAACCCCACAAACAATGCTTAACAAATGACCGCCCTATTCGCTTGGCTTATAAGCCATACTTTTTTAGTCAACAAACAGTATTTTCTCTCACAACAAATCAGCCAACGGTATTTTCAGCCATAGCTTATCAGCCAAACGAACAGGACAGAAATCAACTAGCTACAGTAGCCCAAAGCTATTTATGTCAACAACCTTGGTTAGCAAAGTTCTACCATGATTTTAGACCACTGTCTGGCAAGTAAAAAATGACCGCGCTCTAACAACAAGTTTCAATCCTCTATGATTTAGCCTACAAATCGCAGGGAATAAACAAGTCAACAAATCTACTAATCTCTGCTATTTTCCATTGCATTGAAACACAAATATCAGGAATTGGTGAAATACCTCGCCTCTTTGGCTGTCCAGCAATCCGGAGGCAGGGGCGTAGCTACCACGCCAGGCAGCCGGGGGGAAGCGCCGAGAGAGCCCCCAGCCGCGCCGCCGCGGCGCGCGACTCGAGGGAGCACTCGGGGTGGACAACCCTCGCGGCGACCGTGATGCCCAGCGCGCGTGCCGGGGGCTGAGGACGACGGCGAGTGGGAGCGCCGCCGCCGGTAGCCGGAACCCTAACCCGCGCCCCTGAGCCAGGGGTGAGGGCGACGGGGAGAGGGGGAGGGAGCGATGGGGAGAGGAGCCGCGCCGCCTCCGGTTGCCGCACCGCCATGGGAGCAGCGACGGGGAGAGGGAGCCGCCCGACGTATTTTTGCGAACCGCGCCTCTGTTCGAGCGAGTCGCGAGTAGGAAAGGCTCTCAGGGGCATTTTCGTCTTTTTGTCCACCTGTCTTTTCTTTTTCTCTTTTTTTTTTGGCCATTCAATCCGATCAGTACCAACGGTGTTCGATACCAGTGGTAGATGGTGGCTTCGTTCGAAAAAACCGAGAATAAAATTAAAAAATTAAAAAAAGAGAGTAAAATCACCATCAAGTTCAAAGTAAAGATAGAAACACCAAATTCCCAAAGAAAAAACATCCACTCAAACCTCATGTTTTGGTTTCCTGCGTTCCTCGCTTCAGGCTATAGCCAGAACTCATTAGCCCACTGCCAACTAACTTTTGTTTTCGATTTCGAGTACACATCACAGTATCACACGCACACACGCACAGCCATCACAAAAGCTCAACTATACACAATTGCACTGCTGAGAATAATTACTCGCCTCCCTATATAACACAGCCCCAGAATGCACCGCATCCACACAACTGAATTCTGCTAGTCCACATCATTTGAGTGCTATGAACCTGACTTCCCTATATAACACCGCCCCCCAATACAGAATTTCCAGAATCGGCCCAAAAAAGAATCGAATGCCAATAGCCCTATACCAATCTGTTACAAATGTCATCTTCTTCCTGCTGTAATTATTTCTGTCCACATATATACCTAGGTGACTGACTGACTATAGCTTATCGGCGATCCTGCCAAGGGCGTCGGCTAGCCTGCCGAGCACGAGAACTAGGCTGTTAGCTTGGTCTTTCCTCTGCTCCCTGTCGAGCTCGCAGTTTTGGTTCTGCGCCTCCAACTGTGCAGCCACCAACCGGCTGTTCCGGTCTAGGATCTCGATCAGCTTGCTCTGCAGGTCTGCTGTGCCTTCTCCAGCCCCTTCTTCGGTCCGCGGTCTCTTCTGTCCACCCTGCTGAGCCGGTGCATCCCTCTCAGAGCTTTGCTCAGGCTGTGTGTCTTTCGATGTGCCTGCTTAAGAGATCACATCATTATCTCTTGTGTGTATAAGTATTCACAGCTGGTGCAGCACTTTGCAGATAATAAAAAAAAAAGCTCGGACTGCAGGGTTTACTGGCTTCATATAATTCCGAAAACACAGCAATAATTTAGCATTAAGGTAGAGGACTCCTCACCCAGTCCAAGAAAACCCCTGAAGCTCATACCTCGCTCGAACACAGGGGCCCATTACCCTATGAGTGGGCCGGTGCCACGGATAAAAAAAAGGAACTTAGCCTTAGCTCAGCTGGTGATAGGTGGTTTGGGTAACTAGGTATACACCCCTATCTTCTAGGTTTGAGTCCTCTTCGACTCGAATTTGAATGCCTATTTCTTTTTATTTAAAATGAGACTTAGTTCCTCATAGATTGGTCAAGTTCTTTTTTAAGCGCAATGAGAAGTTTCCAAATTCCAACCTAGTCACTACGTTCAAAGAAAGCACAGTATCTGCAAGTGAAATGATAGTTTCAGTCAAACATATTCTGTTGCCATTGGACATTTCAGAGTTGCTCAGCCAAAAGAAAAAAAAAAGCATGTGAGAAGCTCCAGCAGTTTCATAATTCATCACTAGCTAATATGACACCAAGGGATGTAACACTGGTCAGTCCCATTCACATGATTTCAAATTTGCAGTACCAGGGTGAGCCATCATCCCAGTTTGTCAAAAACAAAAAAGAACCAGAAAACGGAATCAGCACAATGGTATCAGCCACACCCATTTCTGATCCATGCACTTCCACAATTTAAATATTTTCTCAAAAGAAATCCTGGATATACCATGTTAAAATATAGATACCACCAGAACTACGAAATAAGTTCATATTTTAACATCATTGTGCATTTATAAACCTTTAAAGAATACTTTGAAATGTTCAAGTGCATAGGCCTATGACTTTCAGTTCGTCCCTACTTTTACTACTCGGTGCTCACTCTTTTTTTCTAACTTCCATTATGGAAACTCTTTACCCATTTCAAGGCAGTGCTACATAGGTTTTGTCAGTAGATAGCTACTAAAAGCAAACTTTCTCCCGTGAGCCGAAATGAAAGAATCTAGTTGAAGTGTCAAAGTATGTGCATTGTGCAACATAAAGGTGAGCATTAAAGTGTTGATGCAAATACAGTAACTAGTTCTGCCTAATGAAAATATATTGACCGAAATATGACACCACGAGACTCCTCAACAGTCTATGACAAAGCTTAAAGCCAATCTCACATAAGTTATACCAAAATTGAGGCATTTCATTATGTGTACTAATCAATTATTAACAAAAAACTAAAACTGATCACTTGGAAGATTCAAACTTTGAAACAGTATCACACAGAAAGGAACTGATAACCGTGATCCATCCAAAACTGCCAATATGGAAAAAGTTTGATGGACATGGTAACCACCAAAGACAGCCATTTGTGGTTGCTTACACTTTCGTATAAGCTGGCAATCTAGCACAGTATCAGTTTGGTTTCAGCGACCCCACGACCGCATAACAATGCGACTTAATAATGCATATTATAAGTTATAACAATGGATAGCTCATAGCTGATGATACAGTTCACACTAGTTATGCAGACAAACTGACAAAGACATTCTACAGTTCTATCTTTACTGAAGCCTTGCTGAAATTTGAAACTTCAAGTGCAAAGTGAATTTCAATAATGAAAAGTTGTGCATCTGACGTATGGTGTAATTATAATTGCTGAAATACCACATAAATCACTAATGCAACACTCAAACTAGTGATATGCATACAATAGGCTAATGAATCCAATGGAACAGTAAAGTTCTTCAGCGATGCTAAAAGATCTGGAATTGTAAGTTAAAAAAAAAGAGCATAAAGGAAACTAGAGAACAGTAAACGAATTAAAAGTCCATGTACCTTGCTCAGCGCTCTGTTGTTGCCTTGATGCCTCGGGCTTCTCTGAAATGGAGAATTCAAGACATTAATCAAGACAAAATCAGTGGACCTACCAATGAAATCGATAATACAAGAAGAAAGTACACCAAATGAACACAATCAGAATTAAGAGATGAATCAGAGAAAGTCGCTCAAGCTCCAATGTCAAATTTAAATTCCAGCACACCAAAATGATAATCAGACCGCTAAATTATTTCATCAAAAAAGGTTTCTTGCAGAAAAGAAAAGGAGCACCAAGAACTCGAATTTTCCACCCCGTCAAAGCACCAAAATAAATAACACAAGATACATCTCATAACAAGATACTAAGTAGGATGTCCAATCAAGAGCATCCGATTTGAAGGAAGTTGTTGTGCTTACAAGTTAGGAGCTGTAATTCTGTAAACTGAATACCTCAACTTTAGCATGACAAGAAGAACCAGAAAGCCCCCCACCTTTTACCTCCAGCATAAACAGCAGCAAAACGAATTCGCAATTAAAAAATTCTGTTTTTTTTATATATAGCACCAAAAAATTATGAAGAGAACTCGAAAGCACATCAAACAGTGCAAGCAAGCACCGGGAGGCAGCGGCAGCAAAAAGGCGAAGCCGAAGTCAACGAGCAGCTCACCAGATACAGGCACGGCGATGACCGGTGGTGGTGGGGGAGGAGGGGCCACCGCCGGTGCGTCCTCTTCTTCCTCCTCCTCATCCTCCGAGAACAAGGCCTCTTCCGTGGCCGGGCGGCCACTGTCAAAGACGGCCTCCGGCACCTCCGCCTCCTTGCCCTCCTCGACGCGCACCGCCGCCGGCTCCTCCGCCGCGGCATTCCTGGCGGACCGGTCGTCGAGGATGGCCCGGCCCCGGCCCTCGAGTATGTCATACACCTCGCGGTCGAAGAAGCCCGGGAGGCGTCGTTCCCTGCGCGCATCGTTGCGCATAGCCCAGAAGGACGGCTCGCGCGAGGCCGCCGCGGCCCGCTCCCACTCCTTGATCTTCTTGTAGTCGCCGGCGAGGTTGCTCCAGCGCTTCCGGCACTGCACGGGGCCCCGCTCGACGCCGTGGCGCCGGCAGTACTCCGCGACCGCGGCCCACTTGGGCTCCAGCGCCGCCGACGCCGCCGACGCGGCCGCCGACGCCGACGCCGACGCGGCCGCCGCCGTCGCCGCCGCTGCCACGCGGCCCCTCCCGCCGCGCCCGCCGCGGCCCTCCACCATGCGCTTGCCCTCGATGAGCACCAGTATCTCCTGCCTGGTCCACCGCGGCAGCCTCGGCGCACGACCTGACGGGGTGGCCGCCGCCGCCGCGGCAGCAGCAGCTGCTGCTGCGCCGGCGGGGTCGCCTGCGGTGGACATGGTTGGGGCTGGGCAGGGGCGCGTGTGCTTTCGTGGCGGAAGTTGACGTGACGGCGTGAGGCGGGTGGTGTAACGGAAGGCTAACGACGGTAGGAGAGAGAAAGGGAAGAGAGATGAGAGGGAGGGAAGGGGCGGGACGCGTGGGGGAGGAGGTGGGAGAGAAAGCAAGGAGAGGGAGGTGGAGAGAGAAAGGGGTAGGAGGGTGAGTGAGGGTTGCGTTGTCTTGCTTAAGGAGCAATGGCGTTTAATTAGGCACTTGACTTGTGATAGGAGTACCCAATTTCAAGTGGTCCGTATTTCTCTCGTACAGACCGACCACTCTGTTCTCGTGTTACATAGGGCGTGTTTGGATGGCTTCCAAACCACGCCGCAGGCTGCCACGCTGCACATGCGACACGCCGTCACCGTAGTTTGTCACAGTTTTGGCACGCGTCGCAGCCGGTAGTGCAAATCACGCGCCGCGGCATGCCAATAGTCGAGCGGCCGTTTTGTCCACCGCGCTGGTGTCGCGGCCACAGCTGTGGCGACAGCGAGTCTGGCGGCAGCCAAACCTGCCCATAGTCTCTCACAATCTCACAAATTCAAAAACACCGATTAATGACTTCTAAATTTTATTCTAGTTTAGCCCCTTTTGATTTCTCATACACTCACAATCTCACGAATTCAAGAACACCAATAAATGACTTCTAAGTTTTATTCTAGTTTAGCCCCTTTTAATTTCTCATACTCAGCTTATTTTTTATGTAAACATAATCAACTAATTCTATATGATGAGCTGCCTCATCAGTGTCAATGAAAGGAGAGGAAAAAACAGAAAAAGAAGAGCTAGAGGCAGGCTAGAAGAGAGGGGATTAGTTGGAGCAAAGGATAGGGAATCGGTGCCCAACAACAAGAGGCAAGAGCCCATGCATGATGCGTCCTCCTATGTCCACCACGATGTAACAGGCAAAAGGTGCCTCAATCCAAGAGGTTTTCTCGGCTGGGAGAAGAGAAGAGAAGAGAAGAAAAGGTGGGGTGGCCTTGCGATTGCAAGGAGTGGTGGTGCCTTAAGCGGGTGGGTTAATTCATTGTGCGATTAGGACCTGTGAGTGATTAGAGCACAACAATAGGCGGCTAGCCAGCCTCCGATCCCAACGGTCTCCATCTCTCTGGACTGTGATGCGATCATTTCTCTCTTTCTTTTTTTTCCCCAAAAGGATTTTGGGTCTTTTTACAGTAGCATAGTAGCACCTGAAAAGAATTGACGGGACTATTTGTGTCTCTGCTTTGGGATGATTGATTATCGGCGACGCGTGTCTATCGGAGAGACGGAGATGCTTCGTTATGTGCATATTAGATGTGCCGTTACAGAGCTTATTTGGTGGCTGTTAGCCTCATTCACGCACCCGGCCCACTGGAACAGTCTTCAGTCAAGCTTGCTCTCCTAGTAGTGCTCGCTCAAATGGATGGCCATGTAAAGATGCTGTCATGGGGATATGATGCTAGATCTTTTTCTTTAATAAAAATCGATTCTACTTTTTGAAAATATATATTATTAAATAAAAAACCAAGCTAAGTAGTTTCGTTCTGGAAACATCTTGTCTATCCTCAGTCCCATGACAAAAGTTTCAGTGCAGTTATTAGTTTTGAAAGGGAAAAAAGATGTATACACATCTTGTCTACCTTTGCACATTTGAACTATATATTCAGAGCAAAAAATAGCAAACAAGATTGGCTTTGTGATGCAAACATATGGCTAGATTAATTCGTGCTGCCAGACAGGGACAATCAGAAACGTGTAGCTGGAAAAGCCTAGCGAAATTGGTGCATCAACTGATGTCCTTTTCAGCTAGCCTCATAAGTTGTTAATATAATAGCAAAAGGATTCATGCATACAACTAATTGTTTTTTTTTTGGCAACGAAAATTTAAAGCAAAATCGCAGGTCTGTTGTGGTGGTGCGTGTGGTGACACACAATCGAGGGAATTATTGTTTTGGGCGACTTGGTGTACTCCATCCATCTCATGCCAAGCAAGATGCCTGCTTGCTAGAGGAAGGTTGGGCCTCACCTATGCAAATTCATATAGTTAGAGCTCCAACTTCAGTATTGGTTTAGCTGTCCCTGGCCTGCCTCTTTAAAAAAATTTGGGAGGTCCATTTCAATCTTATATGGGGCTGAATTGACCTCACCTACTGCCAGGTTCCTTTCAACATGGCTGTAAGCAACTACACCATATGTCTGTCTTCAGCTGGTGCATGCCTCTACATCCAGAAAGGATATATATGTAGTTTGGTTGGCACCAGCATCATATGCTTGCAGCAGCATGTACACCATATTTAGCAGCAGCACAGGGATGATTGGTGCTGAAGCTGTTCCATCTTGATTTCCCGGTCTTCAAAGGCCTTGTTTAGCTGACGAATTTTTTTGGGAAATGGTACTGTAGCACTTTCGTTATTATTTGACAATTAGTGTCCAATCATAGTCTAATTAGGCTTAAAAGATTCGTCTCGTGAATTTCGTCTAAACTGTGTAATTAGTTTTATTTTTTATTTATATTTAATGCTTTATGCATGCGTCCAAAGATTCGATGTAACGGGGAATCTTAAAAAATTTTGCAAAATTTTGGAAACTAAACAGGCACAAAGTGTGATTTTGAGTACTTTGCTGAAGCTTCTTCAGTCCTGAATTTTCAGTCAGATATAATTTAATCAGTTGTCGCTGGAGCTGGAGTCCAGCAATTTCTGCGTCCTTGTAACTTGTAAGGATACACCTACAGCTACTTGACGGTTACTGGCAGTTTCTGTAGTACTATGGCCAAAGTCAGAAAAGGGGAGACCTAAATGCAAGGACCAATAAGATATGAAGAGATGGGGGCGTGATCCTAAAAGGACAGCCCACAAAGACAGGTCCCAATGGCAATGAGAGGTGTGACCTGAGTGATCGGCCTCCTCACATTAGCTGGCCTGTTGACACAATCCTTGCAGTGTAACTTTCAGTGTCAACTTCTGCTTTTTCTGTGACCAAAGGGGCCTTTGTCCTTTCAGCCACGAGAAGAGGCTGCTGCACAGGGCCACCCCTGGTATGGACGCATACAGATTGAGATCATAGCCTGGACGCAGATATTCCCGTTTGCAAAAACTGCAAGTGCCCTGTGTGGGGAGGGTGCAGTGCACAATCGCGAAAATGAGTGGGTGAGGACCGGGACCCCCCTTTTTCCCTAAAAACAATATGGGAATTCTTGTGGGAGAGGAGAGGTCGACGCATGATTAGTGCCTCACTTGTTGGTGCCTTTGCAATCCTTTCTTATTGAAGATGTGGGGACTAAACCCTTGTTTATAATTTTATTTGATTTTCTGAGATGTGTTCTGCGTTGAAAAGAGGATGTTGTCTTTTGGGGAAGATATGGTTAACCAAAGATGGCTAAAAGGTCATGCGACACAATATTTCTCAATACAATTACCTAATTCCTTCTTCGGATTATGATATCGTTTAGAAAAGAGGAAAAAAATATTTAGCGACATATCCTATGAATTTCAAATGAAAGGGCGATTATATTTTGATGACTTCTTCAGGTACCGAGACACAAGTCGGCGATACATCATAGCAACTGATTATTTGAAGTGGTAAAGTGTAGATAAACACAATTGGGTCAACAGTGTTTGTATTGCATCACTGGTGGTATAAACACAAGTACGTGCAGTTACATAGCGCGGTGAGCACGCGACACAGGTCGGTCGACGTCGTGACCGCCGCGTCTGACCACTAACTCTACGCTAACAAAACTGACTGTCTCAACACCCCCCGCAGTCTATGGGGTCTGTAGTGTAGGAACAACACATAGACGGGAGAGGCTTCGAACGTCGAGGTCGGAAGCCCCAAGGTCATCACGTCGGCGTACTATTCACCGGTGGGCACATGAAGAACACGGAGATCACCGAGTTGGACACGTTCACGGATGAAGTGGATGTCCAGCTCGACATGCTTGGTTCGCTTGTGGTGCACCGAGTTCGCGGACATGTAGACGGCGGAGACATTGTCACAGTATGCAAGGTCGCCTTGGAGATGACGCAGCGGAGTTCGCCGAGAAGCTGGCACAACCAGATGCATTTGGCGGCAGCATTGGCAACGGTGCGTTACTCTGCCTCCGCACTGGAACGGAAGATAGTCAGCTGCCGCTTGGAGGACCACGACACCAGACGTAGAACTCGGATGTGGATTGCCTTGTATCCCCAAGAAGACGTAGAACCCGGACATGGATTGCCTTGTATCTGGGCAGCCCGCCCAGTCGGCGTCGGAGTATGCGGTGACCGAGAGCTCCGCTGAGGCACGGAGGTGAAGTCCCAGATGCGTAGTACCAAGGACGTACCAAGGATGCGCTTGAGCAATGCCTGATGCAGTCCGCATAGATCGTGCATGCGGAGATACGCCTGCTACACCGCAAATGCGCGCGTGACCATCAGGTACTGCAGAGCTCCGGCCAAGCTTCGATAGGACTTGGCATCGTCAACCTTGGCGCCGTCATCAGCGGACAATTTCCCTATAGTATCGATCGGGGTCGTCATAGGCTTGCAGTTGGCCATGCCGGCGCGCTCCAGGATGTCCTCGGTGTAGCGTTGCTGGGACAGGTAGAAGCCAGTGGCGTCGCGCTTGACATCGATCTTGAGGAAGAAGCTGAGCTCGACGAGGTCTTTGACTATGAACTCCCGGCAAAGGCGTTCAACGATCTGCTGCTGCAGCGTCGTGCTCGATCCGGTGAGCACGATGTCGTCGACGTAGAGGAGAAGATAGGCGACATCGTTGCCACGGCGGAGAACGAACAGGGATGAATCGGACCACATCAGCGTGAAGCCAATGTTGACGATGAACATGGCAAAGCGGGTGAACCAAGCCCGTGGTGCTTGGCGAAGACCATAGAGTGACTTGTCGAGGAAGCCTAGAAGTTGCTGACAGAGAACATGGAACGCGTTGGAGACGTCGAGTTGCCGGGTAGGCCACCGACGAGAGGCAGCAATCGTGAGCA